TCCATTTTTTAAATCTCCCATATTGTTCCTATCTGGTATAAATCTTTTAAAAAAAACAACATAAATAAATACATAATTTCCTAATGAATCTCTTCTAGCTGTGACCCCGTTTTGCTGACTGAGGGGTAAAAACCGGGCCAAATGGAGCCGTTTCTCACCCGTGTCCATGACGGGCGGCCAGGAGCGCACGTCCACGGCGGCCATTGCTTCCCTGGACCTCAGCAGCCGGGCCACGCCCTGCGTGGTCATCACACACACCGACCGGCTCACCTGCACACAACAAAACCCACGCTGGAGGAATTATCTTCTAATCCAGTGTTTTTCAACCTTTTTTGACCCAAGGTAACTTTTTTCATTGAAAAAAAAATCACGAGGCACATCACCAACCAAAAATGTTAAACAAATCTGTATCCGCCTATAGTAACACTATAGTTATTCTTATTTTATCTTAAGTGTCTTGAATAGGAATCAAATAAACACAAAAATGTATTTTTTATCATATTTTCTTCTTTCAAATTGCTCTTAACATGTCCACTTCAATATACAAAATTATATACAAAATCTAGTCATAAGGAATTATTACATGATTACTCCACCAGTCACTAGAACAGCACACACACTCAGAAATGGAATATTGTTTGCAGATAATTAATTCCAATTAAGACCAATTAGGTGAAATAGGATGATTTTCTAAGGCACACCTGACCATCACTCGCGGCACACTAGTGTACCGAGGCACAGTGGTTGAAAAACACTGATCTAAAGCAAATGTCTGAGTCCGTACAGGTGAGTAAGAATCAGAAAGTTAATAGAAAAAAAGTCTGAATCTGTCCAAGTGAGTAAGAAATAGAGATTTAATAGAAAAAAAGTCTGAGTCCGTCCAAGTGAGTTAGAAATAAAAATGTAATAGAAAAAAAGTCTGAGTCCGTCCAAGTGAGTTAGAAATAGAAATTTACTAGAAAAAAAGTCTGAGTCCGTACAAGTGAGTAAGAAATAGAGATTTAATAGAAAAAAAGTCTAAGTCCGTCCAAGTGAGTAAGAAATAGAAAGTTAATAGAAAAAAAGTCTGAGTCCATCCAAGTGAGTTAGAAATAGAAATTTACTAGA